GGGGTGTCCCTGCACAGCCTTACCTCCTCGATGAAGCACTGGCTGAACCAGTTGTTGTATACGTCTGCTGTCACTCCCTGGTCGTCCTGACAGAAGGAACACAGGTACTCAGGGACCCCTGAGTTGGCCTGAAAATCCGCCAGTTCCAGGACCCTCTGGCAGGCGGTTTCTCAAGGGGCAACACATTTGGGGGTGGTGGCCAGGGCTCCCTCCAGTCTGACCCCTGCCCCCGCACAGATCCTCAGATGACCAAATTTCCTTAGCCCTGGTCGGCCTGAGTCTGCCCTAGTCCCCGGGGTTTTGTCCCTCCAGGTGAAGGAAAAGGAAACCAAACTTTAAACCCATTGACAGTCACATATTCCAGAAAAGGCTCTGGTGACTATGCCCCTCACCGTGGCAGGAGGGGCTCGGGCTTTCCCTGTCCCCCTGGCCTGCCGGGACCCAGGCCCTCCAGGGAGGAGGCGAGGGGAAGGTTCACTCACCAAGTGCTTCTGTAGCTGCGGAAGCTTTGTTCTGAGCAACTGCTCATGAAAGGATTGGAGTCTGCGCAGCTTCGGGGATCCTGGTATGTAGAATCCTGAGAAACACAAGGTCCCCCCACATGAGCACCTGCTTCCCCAGCCAGGTGGAGCTGGCCATGCAAGGCCGTACACTGACACAGGTGAGGTAACCTGGGAAGGCTGAGGTCCAAGGCTGGAGGAGTTGGGCATTGCAGGGTGCCCCCCAAACCCAAGGCTTCTTCCTCTTCCCACCCAGTGACCCCACTATGTGTCCTCAGCCTTGAGGACAGTGGGTGGGGATGTCCTCTAAAGCGTTGGTAGACTCGCTGTCCAGCTGTGTCCTGGGATGAGGCCCCAGTAGAACTGGGCTGACTTCTAGGCAATAAGGAAGGACGATGGCGGCTTGAAGGGCTGTGTCAGCCACGCTGGAGCCGTGTGCGGCCATCGGGGTGACAGGTGTGAGTGATGGGGGGTGTATGGCTGTCTCTTAGACTCCAGGTCTGGCTGGGGGACACCAGTTGGGGAGACGCTGCCGACTGAGCTCTGTCTGGTTATTGGAAGGGTGGCTGGCAGGATGGCCAGTGTGAGGCGGAAGGACCAGCAGAAAGGAGAAAAAGGCCTGGACAAGGACGAGGCCACAGGGCCGTGGCCACAGGAAACAGAAAGCAGACCACAGCGAGGCTGCGGGTCCCTTCTCTGACGGAGACACAAGGTGTCCAACTCAGGGTTACGGGTCCCTGTCCAGACTTGGGCTGCTGTGGGACTGTCCCTAGGGGACTGTCCTGGAGACTCATAAACAGCTGGAGAGGGATGGTGCCGTGGCTGTAAGTCGCCATCACTTGGCCAGAGTGGTCATCCCTGGCTTGGCTGCACAAGGCACTGTGGGCAGCTGTTCACCTACCGTGCATNGGTGTTTGGTTCAGGCTGGCTCAGGCTTTCTGCATCAGGCCCTCACCTCATAGGAGCTGGGACTGGGCATCAGTCTTGACTCAGAACTCAAGCGTGAGACACCCTGTTACCTGACCCCCTTGCATGGGGGCCTCTCCCCATACTGGCTGAGATGCCACCAGGTACTTGGCCCCTCTGCTCTCTAGGGCCATCTGCTCCTTGCCAGGACTGGACCATTCCCACAGTCAGCAGAACTCTAGGTCCTGCCTCAGGCCTGAGGGTCCCGCCCTCGCCCTGAGTCCTTTTGAGCTTTGGTATGCGATTCTTTTCAGTGTCTGGCTTGGGGCTTGTTGTCCTGACGACCTTGTGTGGGAGTTCAG